CGAACGAAATCTATCTCCTTTCACGAAGGGCTGGCTCTCTTTTTCCCTCTTTCCTTCGTATACACGCATACAGACTCTTACTCTCGTCCAGTGGAATTTTGAGGTATCCGGTTGCCTCTCTTATTCTTCTCTGCGCGTCTTTTACTAAGGCTTCTTCTTCATCATCATCATCGTCGTCGTCGTCGTCGTCGTCGTTCTCGCCGCCGCCAGCAGCACCGCCGCCACTACTACCGCCGCCGTCGTCGTGGTCTTTTTCTCTTTCTCCTTGTATGCGCCTCTGTATATATAACGTGCATGCGCGCGGGGGTTTTTGTTTGCACCTGTGTGTCTGCACACACGTGGACGCGCCCTTCCTTCCCCAATGTGCTCGCTCCGTGTGTAACCTGCTCTATCCTTTTGTGTCTGGCAGCAGCAGCAGCAGCAGCACACGTAGGTATACATAGGGCAGGTATATAATGCCGCTAGCGCACATATAGGAGCGCGCACAGGTCCAAAGTTCTCCGACGACGACGAGGCTCGGCTCGTGTGAGTGCGTTCGTGCGCGAGTTAAAAGGAAAGCCAAACGGAGATCAATGACGCGCCACGGCCTGTGTTTAGGAGAGCTGCCTCTTCTCTCTTCTCTATATACATTATGTGCGCCTTCTATTCAGCTACTCTGTAGAACGCAGCTTCGTAGAAAAACGGCCTTTTTACATTTTTCCCGCTAGCGCATATACAATATTAAAGTCTGCTATAGAGATCCACGACGCGACTGGACCGGACAACATTTTTTTTTCTTCTTCTTAATCTATTTTTCGAACTCGAACGCCTGTGTATACAAGCAAGAATAAAGGCAGGAGGAGGCATGCACTTGATCATGCGTTGCAAAGAAGCTCGAGGCATCAATCGACGTCTATATATATTTACAGCGAATTAGTACGTAATGCAATTTTGGCATTGATAATGACTTTCGAGAGGATAACTTTCAAGCAAGTTCCTACATTACATTATTATCGATTATTACGATCGTCTTTTGGCAATCGTGCAGGTAGCACTCGGGGCCTAAAAGTTGAGAAACAAAGCTCGCGATTGCTGCGCATCTATCGTAAACGTGGCCAAGCTCGAGCTGCGATTTGTCGAGCGAACGAGAGAAAGCGGAAAAAAATGTCATTGCAATTACGGGGATTGCGTGTATAAAAGCGGGATCGCCCTTGCACAAGTTCAAGTTGCAAGTTCCTTACCCCGAGAGCTGCTACATCGAGCTACATCGAGCCTGATTTATCGCGCAATATGTAAGTAGAGCGCGTGCGTATCCGTAGAGAATCCTTTTCTCTCTCTCTATATGCCGAATCGCGCGACATTTAAAGGCCCGAGCGCGTGGTTATACGAGTTATAGTGGCAGAGAGAGCACCCCCCGCGCGCCTCGATACACACACGTGCGACTGCATCTTTTCCTTCTCTGCGCGTATAGAGATCGCTTCTGCGTGTAATTGCTTCGATCTCGTTTTTAGCTCTCTGTCTCTCTCGTACCGCGGGGGAATATGTTAACGACTAACGAGCTGGCATTGTACGTACGAGCTTGTAAAAAATATGGGCGCAGGGCGAATTGCGGATCAGACAGCTCCGTGCCCTACTGCTGCTCTCTCTCTACTTCTGCACATGCTCTCCCTCGTGGATTTTCCATTATAACTGCGAGCTCGCTATATAGCCTGCTGCCCGTGTCTAACGCGCCTACGACGTCCGAGTGTAAAGGGCGTTCGCTGCTCCGATCTGTCAGGCTGCAGCTATCGTATTATATTATACGATAGGGTTCGCACGCCCATTCGGACGCTTTTTTGCGACACTGTCTACTCGAGCGAAGCACGTCGACGAATTCGGCCGAGTCCACGCGGATCATAACGAGTCATTTACTCATTTACATTTGCTCGTTGCGTGACATCTTATGTTAACTCATGACCGTGTCTGCGCTCTTTAGAAAAACCTAAAATTTAATGCCACATATAATTAAAACTAAAGTAACCCATATTAAATTTTATTTGAGGTACTTTAACGTAAAATCTTTGTTGATGAACAAAAAATGCATAAAAATGTAATTACACGCATTAGTTTCAAATCAAAATGTTTAAATTTGAGTTTATTGTCAAGTCTTTGCGTCCATTGCTTACAAATGTATCAAGTTTCAATCATAATTAAAGCCAGCTTCCACCGCTAGATGGCGAGTACTCTTTCTCTGTAAATCTGCAAGTGGCACAGTCAAAATAATTGTATAAGTCGCAGCGCTATTGATATTGGTTGTTGATTGATATCCTAGGCATCTATCACTGTTACTTCTAAAATTGAGATACATATCATCGAGTGCACGCGTACACTCGTGCGCATTGCGAGTGAGCAAAATAGGCGTCGTTTTAGCGACTCCGACGAAGCATCGTCTACAAAGACCATCGCATACGCGAAGCAGGAAAATGCCCAAGTTCGTGCTAGCTTTTTTCCTTTCCTCTTTATTCTCTCTCTCAGTAAGTCCTATGCGTGGTCGGATGCTCGTCGCTCGAGAGAGCTGCCACCGCAACGCCGATGTCTCTCTGTCCTTTGCATTTTGAACGTCGCGGCGACTCGAGCAACGCGAAACGCGCTATAATACATAAAACAGCGAGGCAAAAAGTACATATGCCGATTATACGCGTGACTGCCGATGTCGGTGCGCATTTTTGTTTGTTTCTTTTTCCTCAAAAGCGCCGAGTATCAAAGTGTCGGGCTCCGAGGGATGAGTGCATATTATAAATGTCGCTGCAGCTCGCATATTATAATGTACACGCCTGTGTGTGTGTGTGTGAGGGGGTCGCATCGCAGCAGCAGCAGCTCTCCTTTCTTCCTTTTTTCTTCTTTCCGGCGCAGTTCTGTGTCTCTGCATAATGGCCCGTGTGTAATCAGACGCAAGTGCAGCAGTGGCGTTGGTGGCTGTTGTATATAAATACATAGGCGCGCGACCTACAACAAAGTGCAGCTAGCTGCAACGTCGCGAACCGCACTGCGATACGTATGCTTTGTTTGCTCGAGCTGGCCTCGCGCTGCTGCCACCAGCACCCACCCACAACACACACACACAAACGAGCTTGACGCACATCTCATCAGGCGAAGTGATGCGAGCTAAACTTTTGAAAAAACAAAGCACTTGGGGAGCCTCTGCTTGTGATGTGTGTGTGAGTATATACCTGCATCTTTGGATTCTGTCAGTCCCTGCCTTTATACGTGCATCGTGTGTTGCATGTACCGATGCTCGCTCGTGTATACCAACACATACGAAAGCCGAAAATAAAAGGCCTGTTTGGCGCGTAGGGGTCACCGCGGAGAAGCAAATTATTATAATGCAACCTGCCCGAGAGAGGGAGAGAGAAAGCAAAAAGAGAGCCGAGAAAGAAAAAAACCGAGAAAAAGATGAAGCAGCCCTTTCCACATACACACACACACACCGCATTATTCTTTCCCTTGTAGACCTTATTTAAACCTGCAGCACAATGCGCCTCAGCGCCCGTGTACATCCATACCATATAGCGGAGGTTGTTTTTTTTTGCTGCTGCTGCTGCTGCTGCGCTTTGTCCATCAGTACATGATATTACTCACAGACACTCGCAGCAGATCAGGTATAATACAAAGAATAAATTGTGCGAGATGGCTGGCGCGGTTTTGTGAACATCATTCGTTGGGACGTAGTAGAGTATATGTACAATATGCGCGCGCAAGGGGGGAAATAAAAAGGTGAATTTTGCGGTGAAGCGCGAAATGGCCATCATCTCGTCGCGCAATTCCCATTTGTAATACGTATAACATAATACAAAATGTTGTCATATTGCTCTATGGCAATTACTCGGCGCGTATTATGTGCTAACGATCGCGCCCTACGATGCAGATTTTTTCACATCGAGCGATGAAAATTATTCCCTGCTCGCAAATATAGCTTTTGATTAGTTAATTATTTACCAGTTCGTTTCGTCGAAGATTACTCGCTCTCATCTTTGCCCCTTGGACATCCACCGAGGCAAGTCAACAGAAAGATGGCGAGGCACGCGGAAACTGCGTCGTACGATCTCGGTAAACGTCCTCGGGCAACGTCGTCAACGAGACAGACGCACACCACTAACTTTACAGTGCTAGACGCATTTTTTCCGAAGCATATCGCGTCCGCGAAGCTCAGCCGTGCAATATCGGCAACGGTATAATTTGCAGCGACGCAGCGGCGAGTCGAAGGGAGATCCGATATAAAGTATGAAAAGTCCGTGCGACTACTTTGCGCACGGTGTATAGGTGTAAACGCAGGCGTGTCGCGAACTCGACGTTATCGCTCGAGACGACGGGTCACGGGGAGAGAACGTCCCAACTAGCCTAGCAATGGGAAGTAGCTCGTCGCTCGCGAGCAAAAGCAGAGACGTACGAGAGCGTCAACGGTACACATATACACGGTAGCCCTTATACGGAAGTGGAGAAAGAAGCTGCTGCATTACCTACATTCGTGCACATGGTCCGGAGTACGGGCCGAGCGAGGGACTAGGTGTATACGCGCTATACAGTGCCGCAGCAGCGGTATAACTAGCCTCTCGTACTGTACAGTATACCAGGTAGCGTAGCGCACTTGGCTCGGAATCCCGTTATAACTGAATCTGCGCGACGACGCCGCCGCCGCCGCTGCATCCATATACCTACGTACGCTTGGCACAGTATCGCGACCAAGGAAGCCACCTCTATTCGACCTATGGGCATGCCGACATATAATATACAACGCACATAGGCGAAAGGCGGAAGAGAGCCGAGGAAGTGCTGCACCAACGAGACCATCTCTCTCTTTCTCTCTCTTTCTCTCTATCTCTCGCTCGCTCGGCAGGACCGTTGCCAAGGATCGGCTGCATCCATTCCCGTCTGCCAACTAGCTGCACGTACGCAGTCGACCAGCGTCGTGCCGAGATCTTTCGTTTTCTCGTCTTATTCTTTTTTTTTTTTTTTTGGAAAATGAAAAATTTTAGTCAAATATATATCTGGAATGGTTTTTTTTATTAATGCTTTACACGTACAAGTTCGTAGTCTCGAGTCACGGCGATCGTTCTTCCGAGCACAAAATTAATTTAACGCCGATCGCCGCATCGACCCGATCTTATAAAACAATATTATACATAATAAACAACGTCTCTGTTACATTATAAATTCAATACGTCGCATGCAACAGCCTCTGCGTCTCGTCCTCCCCCACCACTAGTACCGGCACCATCGTAATGGGGGACGATACTTTTACGCGAGCGAACGTGAAAATTTAAGGCTACTCGTTTACCGCGTGCAACAGTAAACCTGCGTACGCGACGCTGATACGGTAGCCTATCTCGCGGCCCGGCTTCCGGTAATATACTCTCAATTATGTTACATTATATTCTCGCGTGCATCTTACGTATAGATATTTTTTATATGGAGCAAAAAGATGAGACGGCTAAAACTGGTTTAAAAAGAGTTACGATATCCTTGCTTATAATGAAATATCTCGTTCGAGAGTCACCGAGTGCTGCTGTAGTTTTGTACGAGGCACTTTTGAAAGACACCCTGATTCTCCCTTCATCTCGATAATTTTCGTGGATCGATTCTTGCATCTCGCTCATACGTAAAACTCGCTCTTGGCCGAGATTTCCAAGTGCGCCGCCTCGTTCTTCCATTGCTCGATGCACTGCAAAAACAATACAAGGACGAAATGTCAGGTATTTTACTAATTCTCGAGAGCTACGTTATAATTACCCCAACGAAATCCTGATCGATTTCCTTGGTCTGCTTCTCGTGCGTGGCTTTGAGCTTCTCCTTCTCGCGGGCGTGCTTGATCGCGATGTTCTTGCGCTCGTCCATAAATTTTTTAATGTTGTTGGCTTTTTTCTCCTTCAGTCGACGATCTTTATCACCCTTGGTCTTGAGCGCTTTGTCGTTCATTACCTCCTTGGCGGTGTCGGCCGACACTTTGGCTTGGTTCGCGTTCAATTCTTTCATATCCCTGGAACGCGAAACAAAAGCGAAAGAAAAAAAATGAATTAAAAGAAGAAGAAGCAGCAGCAGCAGCAGCAGAAACAAAAGAGCGTGTTCGATGCGCATCCTCTAAGGTGTATATCATTGCGCCGAAAAAAGTAGTATAGCCGAAAACTCACTTGGCGTGCTTGGCCTCGAGCAGCTTGAATTGATTTTCCATGACTTGGGGCATGCAAGCTTTGATCTCTTCCTTGGACGCTTCCAGCTGTACCTTTTGCAGCTCCCACTCCTCCTTGCGATGCTTCTCCACCATCTGGGTCCACTGGGTCATCTGCTCCTTGATGAGACTTTTTACGCTCGCGTCGCCGACCAATGCGCTCTTGCTGCAGAACCGAGACGAGAGAAACAACAAAAATGTATACCACCTGCGAGCCGATGTACCACTGGGCGATATCGCCTTCGACGATACTTACTCTTTTCCCTTGGTCAGTTTTTCTATGGCCGTGCAGTGGTTTTTCTGCATCGTTTGACGCTCCTTGAGGTGCTTTTTGCGCAGCGTATCCAGTTCTTTGTTCATTTTCTTGCCGAGTTTAAAGAACTTTTCGCGCCGTAAATTTTCGTAATTGCACGGCGGTAACTTGAATTCCTCTGTGGAAGCAATTATTACGTGTTAGTTGTATCAAAGTATGCTCTTCCCCGAAGATTTATAAAAAACTATTCGCACTAATTGCGAGAATCATATATTTATTCATATGCAAATGTGTATGCGTGTTTACAAAGCCAAATATGCCTGCGTATACAGTATACACACGTACGCGAATATATACATATATACAAAGTTTGACTTGCCTTTCTTTTTTTTCTCCTCCTCTTCTTTTTTCTTCGCCTCAGCCTTGGCATCGGTCTGCTCGATACCGAGTCCCTTCATTGCCTCATCTCGTTTTTCTGCGCCTTTACCGAATGCTCCCGGATCCGACAGCATAGCCATGAAATCTGCGGCGAGAAGTAGCAGCGGTAGCAGCACATGTTAATGCTATATGAGCTCTCTCATAGTTTGCAGCTCTACTCGCGTAATACTATGGAGCCGAGCCGAGGCTCGTCGAGCAGCTGAGAAACATTTTATTGGCACTGCTTCCGCGAATTAATTTTACACGACTCGTTGTATACATAAAACGTTTGAAAAGTCGATCGCACTCGAGACGTTATATATACACTCCTTTCCTTAATATTTTTCTCTAATTTTTCTTTTCCTACGTACTCGAAAAATATGTATAGTCAGTTTAGTGCTTACCGCCAAATCCATCGGGGACGTAGATGGACAACTCGATGTTGCAGAAAAGCATGGGCAAAGCCATGGGGAAGTTGGCCTCGGTCTTGAGAGATATGTGCCTGTAGCCGGCTTGCAAACCGTCCAGCGGAAGAATCCTTTGGCCCAGTAATTTTCCGCTCTCTTCGTAGACGCCTGCGCAAAAAAAAAACGTCGATGACAGCGGCTCTGAAAATGTTAACGAAAAAGATGGGAAAACTTGCCGAAACGCAGCACAGCCAAGTCCGGCAGGACGACTTTACGGAAGACGAAGGGATCCTCGTTGTAGACGGGATTGAGGCCGTTGGCCGGCACCATGCGAGTCTTGAATTCCTTCTTGATCGTGTCGGCCGGCAAGCCGTACATGTCGACTTCCACGTAGGTGCCGACTTTTTTGTCCGACAAAAATTGCCCGGCTATCACCTGATAATTTAGCTCGTATAATAATTGAGAATCGATAAGGGAGCGCGAGAGAAAAAAGGTACAGAGACGAGACGTACCCTGACGGAGCAGGTGATGGTGATGACTCCGTCGACGCCCTCGGAGAAGGGATCGAAGTTTTTGCCGGCTCTGCGCATAAACTCGGGCTTGAGCAGGTAGCCCGTGGTATTGTTGTACTCGAATTTACCCTGATTCAATTGCATGGGTAAATCTGGCGTTTGAAAGTTCAGCGCCACCATCTGACAGCCGGCGTTCCAAAATACCTGCGAGAGGAGCATGCAGGAGACTCTTTAGCGATTATTTACACAGCCGTTCAATATAAATGACGCCGATACGTATGTATGCGCTTATAAATAAAAGCCCGACGTGTCGCCTATATAGCGGAGCTATTCCGAGAGAGATTTTATCAAATTATCAGTCACACGTGCTGCCGCTCGCTGACGAACGAGACATCGATCCGTGCAGTTCTGCGTCGCGTTTCTGCACCGCGAGCTTCTCTGCATTGATATTATACTCTCACAATGACACGAAGCAGCAGCAGCAGCAGCAGCGTTTAATAATAAAAAAGCCCGCGACGAGATGGTTGCATCGCGAAGCTCGCGGCGGATTAAATTCATTTTGTAATGCCTCGCAAGAGAGCTCGATATAATTTATTTTACGCAAAGATGGATTATCAGCGCGAGAGAGCTAGCTAGCGTCGCGACTCGAGGTTTTCCAAATTTTATGGAATAACTTCTTGACTAATGTAGCGCAGCCGATTTCGAATTTCTTGCGCTGTGATATATTATACATCGAGCTGCTTTAAATAATATGATATATTTGTGTACAGAGCAAGTCTCTCTCTTTGAATCGAGCGAAATTGTCGTAATTGTGCATTTTAAAGGAGATGTCGCGCTTAAATATGAAATCGGCTTAAAATATATATCATTCGAGCTAGTAGTACCTGGGGCATGTAATTCGACGAATCGACTCGCGTGCCTTTCGGATAGATACGGCTCATCTGGCGCTTGTTGTAATTGACGAACTCGACGCCGTTCTTCTGCAGGTGATTCAGCGCCGCCGTCTCCGAGAACGACGACATGTTGTGGTGGATATTTTTCTCTGCGCCACGTCCAAGCAAATTGGTAATTTCATGAAACACGAAACATTAATCGAATGAATTCAGGAAGCTATGCGTATCGCGAACTGCCATAAACGCTAATAAACAACACAAACTCTCGGCGTGCTCGAACGTCTGGAACTTGACGGGCTGGGCGTAGTTGATCATGGACGAGAGCAGCGGATGGCAGGAGGTCGCGCTGCCGGAGTAGGCCGGAGCAGCAGCTCCGTCGGGGCCGGCTTCGCCCGGGGCTCCGGGTGCTCCACCCTCGGCAGGGGCCGCCGCCGCTTCCTAAAATTCAGAAAATTTCAATCGATCGCGCTAAAAGAAGGAGGATAGTAGAAGGCTATACCGGCGGGGGTGCCTCGGTAGGCGGCGGAGCAGCGGCGCTCGCGTCCTCGACCACCTCGTCCTTGGCTTCGAATTTGCCCGACAGGAAGAGCTCCAGCTCGACCTTCTCGACCTCCGGCTTGAGTCGCTTGTTCTTGATCAAGATTTTGCGCTTCATGGCGCTCGGCGGTGGCAGAGGCTGTCCCTCTACGTACAACTGCAAAATTATGCGCGCTATTATCCACGATTGGATTATGTTATTGTTTATGACTCACGGGATAGTCGGGCAGCGCCTCCTTGAGCAGCAGTTCGCCAAAGATCTCGTCAAAGTACTTGGCCATTTTGTACTGGTTGCTCATGCACAGGTGGTTCTCGATACTGAGGATCACCGGGTACTCGGAGGTGACGAAGGCGCAGTCGCGGATGGCCATGAGCGAGTCCTTGAAGAGGATGTCGGTGCACATGGCCTTGCCGTGAGTTATGATGATCTCGTCCTCGGGCTTCTTGCCGTCCCAACAATCCAATTCCACGCACCTACGCGTGAAACAACAAAATTTAGTTGACCGTCGAGTCGGCGAAAAAGTTGCATAGTTTACCTGCAACCAGCGAGCAAAGTCTGGCGATACATCTCGACGCTGCTCTTGGCGCCCACCTGTTTGCCGCTCAAGTACGTGTTGTGGCTGGAATTGATGTAGTAATGCGAGAGCGGCTGGTCCATGTCCATCCACTCGTCGAGCTTGTCCAGAAAGACCGGGGCGTTCTCGTCCGACATGAGGTAGCGAATGAAGCCCTCCTTCGAGATTCTCTCTGAGTGTAAACAAAATCGTGACGAGCGATTGTCAACCAACTAATTTCCTTACTCGGAGCTTACTCACTTTGAGACTTGAACTTGTCGTCGAGCTCGTAGTCGGTGATGATCTCCATGCATCTGGCGTCGCTGTAGAGCGGATACAAGATCTCGTTGAGCTGTGGGTCGCGCTGCTTCTCGTTCATAAACTGCACCAGCTGCTCGCACGTTATGTAGTCGTTCTTTCCCTTTGTGCTATTTTAAATAAATTATTAATAATTGTACTATTTCAAAGCTAATTGCATTATACTCACATGGAGCCGAAAAGCTCCTCGATGTCGTTTCGCGGACAGATCTTAAAGTACAGCGACTTGAATTTGTCAAAGGTGAAGGCGTCGGGCTCGATTTTGTCGTTCTTTAAAACATCGACATTAGGTGAGCTTTGGGAATTTGATTCTATACGAAATCGTCGTTATAAATTCATAATACCTTGCCATCGGGCAGGCCGAGCTCTTTGAGGCCTTGGTAAACTAGCTTCTCCGTTTTTCCGGAGGCAAACGTCTTCGTGATGACCTTGACCGGCACTTTACCCTTTGGATCGACTTGAAAGCTCAATTTCATCCAACTGCAGAGCGATTAAATTTCAATGAAATAAGAATAATCGAAACGACGTACTTGTTCGAGACTCACTGTTTCATCAGCTGCGTAGTGGGACAGACGTTGCTGGCTTTTGTATTATGCGTGACGAAACGAAGTCCCGCTTGCCAATCCTGTGCGAGTATAACGAGTCGGAGGATAAAAAAAAATCGATCATTATCGATTCGGATTAAGCATACCTTGGCTGTTTTTGCATCGGGACAGACGAAATGTTGATAATTGATGTTGGTGTAATCGATGCCTATACAAACGGTGATGGTCTTCTCGTCGAGCTGCTCGGCGTTGCCGTGCTTGCTCAATTTACCGCTCAATTTCGGATCCTGAGGCAAACCGGAGAGGATACGAGTGATTGTTATTTTTCTGTAAGTAATGTTGCTGTACATGTGTAATGGGGACCGACCTTGGGTGTTCCTCCATATCGTATGTCGCTCACTTGGGCGAGCTCTATAACGTCTCCGTCCTATTTAATAATAAACAGCATCGTCAAGAGTCGAAATCTCGCTGACTCACTTTTTTATCGTGTAACGAATCGTCATTACCTTCCCTTCGCTCTTCCAGTACAAGAAAAAGCCATACTTGTCGACTTTGCAGAGGCAGCTCGGCTCGAAATCGGTGCTTTCCTTCTCCTCCACCCAACGATCGAAGGTACCGCCGTTGAGCAGCAGCGCGGGTGTTTCGCGCTGCCAATTGTACTCGAACTTTTTCGTCATTCTCGCCGCTGTCCCTGGCTGGCCCTGGAGGCGCAGCCGACCCGACGTTCGACCGCGTCAGGAACGCCACTGTCGTACTTTTTTGTTTTGCCTCGCATCACCGCCTAGCTATTTTCTTCTTTTTGTTCAAAGAGCTTATTGGATTACCCCGGACTAGAGGGAAATCGCATTATTTTCAATGTTAATCGGTCGCCGAAGAAACCATATTATTACGTGCTGCTGGCTGAACGATGCGCACAATGTGTCAAGTACAAAAAATCGTTATTATAAGAGTCAAGGACGTTAAATTATTTGAATCGTGGCCGATAGATAAAAAAGCCTCGTATTTTTCAATTTTTGTTTATTTCATAAACGCATGATTTACTCTTGAAAAGTTGAGCTTGGCAACGTGTCTCTGAGCAAACCAACGATCGTGCTTGTTTTTAACCAAATTAAATTGAATTAAAAACTATTTGATACTTCGATTCGAGTGTTGACCTTTTTCAATCGGCCTTCTTAAACTATTCATCCCTTTTTAGAATGCAACACCGCAACCAATTTGACAAATGCAAATATGCTCATCAATTTTGATTTTCATAATTTTTCGATTATCATTTTTTTCAGATGCTAATATTTAATCAATTTATTATATTATATCATTAAGCGCAGTTTCAGATAGATAAATGAAATTGGTTACCATTAAAAGGCTTTAATTAGACAATTTTATTATTACTATTTATCATTTCATTGAACAATTTGACGCAAGTGCATGCAACGACTTCGATTGTTCAAGCTTTATTGATTTTTTATCAAGTATTATTGGATATATCATAGGCATTGAGAATTGAAGCTTCGAGATCGTACAAGTAACGCCCCGAGTGTCCAAAAAGTCGAAACTCTGTAAAGCGCACGTAAAGCCACGGGCAGGCAGTTACGCGTGGTTTATCTTGGCAAGGCAAAAATCAGATGATCGAGAGACGTCTAGAACGATTCCGTATTCTCACGAGTATATTTTCGTAAACGAACGCAGCCAACCTAGCTCATAGGTAGACCCAAAAAGAAGAAAACTGTACTTGAGCCATCTCTATACACAGCCAAGTGCGTAATTTCGCCATCTTTACTGGGCGCGCATTGTCGCCTCCTCTCCTACTGCTGCTGCCTCTCCTCGTCTCTCTCCGCAGCACCGCATCGAACGTGTCGTCTCTCACTTCTCACTACTATATCGCCGGTCTCTCTGCAGTCTTTTGTACGCACGAGGTTCCAACGAGGTTAACGCATTTTCCAGAACCGCTTTTTTCCAAAGACACATCACATCGACGCCATGAACGGAATCGCAAGGAACGTAATGAGGCTCGCAGCCCTCAAGAAGCTTGCCTCGCCCGCCAAACTCACCGTGCAAACTAGTCGAGTATTCCTCAGCACCCTCAGGCCCACGATCGCCGGCAGCAGCCTCGTGTCCAACACCCACAGGCATCCCTGTGCCTGTGTGTCTTGCAGATTCTCCCATACCAAAGGTTAGTGCTGCATTCGTGTCATTTCGTCATCTTTTTTTTTCTTCGTTCTTCCTCGATAATTTTTATGCCTGGATAAGATGGCATATATTTATGTAACTCGCTGCCCAAAAACTAATCCAAGTTATCTCTATTATTTGCAGCTGAAAAAGAATTGGTCGAATTTTTGGCCGAAGAAATCGTAGCCGAAAAGAAAGCCTTGAAATTGAAAACCATTCCCACTGAACTCGATGGCTTCAAGGTTTCACTCGATGGTGCAGAGGTTACCCTCACGAAGCAAGCTGGAGAAGAACTGTAAGATCCCAATTTTCATTCATTTCATTGGAGACTGTAGAAACTTACTGAGATTTAACTCTTCTTATCATCATTTTAGGATCAAAATTTCTTTCAATGTTAACCACACAGTAGACACAGAAGCTGAGCCCGATGTAGACCCTCGTGACGATAAACCTGATATTGGTGAAATCAAAAGTAAACCTTCTTTTGAAGTTGATATCAAAAGAGGCAAACAAACTCTATCGTTCACATGTTCATACAACAATGAACCTGGTGCATCAGGAGCTGATGATTCCTACAGTGCGTATAAAAATTATAAAACATTTAAATAATTTCCAAAGTGTTGAGTATAGACTGATGAATTACATAATCTTTCTAATAATTGATCTTTGGAAAAGTAAAATACATATTCAATATTATATGTTTTGTTTTGTTTAAGCAAAAACTATTGAATATGTGACAGATTTATTATCTTATTATTGAAATTTTTTCTTTCAAACTGTATGTAAATTAATTGCTTGATTTTTTTTTTTAGATGATCTCTTTGGAATCGATGAAATCACACTCTATGAAGGAGAACACACAGAAAAAGTTTACGCAGTTGGAGGCGAAATTGTTGATGGGGTGAGTTGAAACAATAATTAACCACATTTTATATCAAAACTAGAAAATGAACATAAATATTTAAACGCTTTTTCTGAACTGTCTTAATATTTTACTGCAGAGTAATGTTTTTATCAAATTGCAATGATAAGTATTTAATGGTCTAATTTTTTATCTTTTTCTATTTCAGTATCTGTATGACTTGTTGATGAACTACTTGGAAGAAAAAGGTATTAGCAATGAATTTGCAGAAAAAATCATTGAATTGAGTACAAACTATGAACATACAGCCTACATTGGTCTTTTGGAAGGACTCTCAAAATTTACAGCCAAATAAGTTAATTGTAGTTGAAGTTTTTGCTTTATTATAAAGAATGTAATATCTACTTTCTTTTAGCTTTGTAAGAATTGTTAATAAATGACGAAACTAGTTACATTTTTACAAAATAGCTGCATTTTTCTTTTTAAAGTATTCTAAAAATATAGGCCTAGTGAGAATTTTTACTTTTTAGGAATGAAAAGTTTTTGTGACAATTGATCAATTTTTCAAGCTATTTGTTGCATCCTTGTTTCTAATTACCAGTATGTTGCTATAGTACATTTGTGTATTTTTTTTTATTTCAAAATTGGACAGCTGAACTTTTATTTTATTAACCTTTAAATTAACTAAGTGATAATTTTAATGAATTTATTATAGTAGAAATTCTGAATGGACTAACAGGTCTTGTTTAGATAGGGTAGCGTAATAATAATGATTTATTACAATCATTCAATTCAAGTTTAAAGTCATCATTTTTAAATTTATACAAGAATTTATTTTTAATGACTGTCACATGAAATATTGAACAGTGATACACACAATTAATTCAATCTTTAATTAAATTAGTTCACAATCAAATTTTGTAGTCTTGAAGTAACAGCATTGGTAATTTCTTCACTGTTAGGGGCAGATTCAGGTACATGGTTTTGTTGAGATGACTGGTTTAATCTACTACAATTTTTTTTATGTATAAACCAGTGTAATCTTTGGCATTCTCTATCACAATATTGAACAACTTTGCATTTGCTACATTTTTTTGGAGCTTTTTCTTCTCCGCATGTTTCACAGATTAATCTTTCCACATCTTTGAAAACTTGTTGGCCATTTATAGCAGCAGAAATAACTGAAACAGCACTTGGAGGATCAGAACTTGTTAATGTTGCCACCATTTGACGGAAAATTGCTGTGTCTCTATAAGAATATTCTCTGACCAAGTCCCTTAAAAACAGTTCTAAATATTCTTGTGTGCCATCATTCTTATACTTGAGGAATTTTTTTATTAGTAAATCTGCAGCTTCATGCTTTTTATCTTCATTTGAGCCATCCTTTTCAGTATTTGAAGATACATGACGTTGTATTGATTTTGAAAGTTCATCTGTTAGGTAGCAAAGATAATGGTACTTAAAAGACATAATTTCATTAGCATCTGCTCCTTTATTCATTTCTTTTTTACTCATGCATTCCAATACTTTTTGAACCTAAAAAATATTCATGAATGAAGGATATGGAAAAATTTGTCTAAAATTTGACTATTTACTAAAAACTGATATTAAACATGTGAACTACAAATAATTTCTTAAACCAAATATTGTACTCACCATAGGTAAATTGTCAATTAAACCAGGCAATTTTTTCAGGTTCATTATAACTTTAACAGGATGTACATTAACTTGTGTAATGAACAAATAAAATGAATCTGCTAAATGTGGATGTAACATTGGCTCTTTTTGCAAGTTTTGTGGTTTTATATAATAGTCTAGATTTGCCTTAGGAACAAAATTATTTATGGCAGAAGCACAACTATGATTTCCTACAAAACCAGCCATTTGTGCTGCAGTTCTTCCTACGCTGTTTTTAGCATTAATTTTTGCTCCATGCGACATGAGTAAATTGCATAGATCTGAGTTACCACTGAGAGCTGCAAAATGCAGTGCTGAATATCCATGTTTATGCTCGCAATCATTTACAACAGCACCCTGTGACAAAAGTAGACAGATGTTAATAAATAAGCTTTTTTATACTTCATGTAATTAAATGAATAATCCCTTACTTGATCCAGTAGCATTTGAACAATTTCCTTATTTCCTTTATAGCAAGCATGTTGTAGGGGGCTCATACCAAATTCATCCACAAAATTGATTTTCAAGTCATTGACATTTATGAGAGCTCTCAAATCGTCGGTTTGATTATTAGTTATTTTGTCGAAAACTTCTTTTCGTAAGTTTTGCATTTTAACATCACTTTCTTCAGACATTTTTGAGTCGAATTAGCACTTTGCACACAAGTAAATAGAGGAAAAAGAATTGATTCTAAGTTGAAAAAGCTTGTTGCACTTTATTTACTTTGTCAAGAGGCCGTATTGATTTTTGGAATTTCAATATATCCCGTAAACGTGGAGTATACGATAAAAGTTGGTTTATCGTCTGAAGCTTGAGTGTGAACTGTGAACGGACCAAGATGATTGAACCGTAGCAGTTTCGTAGGCGCCTATGTATGTACCATAGATTATTTGATGCTTCATCGATAGGGTTAATTAAAGACGGACACAGGACAAGGGACATTTTTGTGTTTAAAAAAATACACTTAATTTTGCTATCAGCTCTGCTTTAGAACAATAAATAAAAATTTGAATTTGATTGTACGTTAGTGAAAAGAAAATAACAATCTGATATTTTTCAATCTCATATTAGCTCTATTTACGATGTTGCTTGGACTGTCACAACTCAAGTTTCAATAGGGAGCGCTTTCTCTTTCTCATTGCAGACATTCTTGAATTCGGAGTCGGAGTAGACGGCCCAGCGTATCGTATAACGCAAAAGACAACAACAAAACGTCGGCGAGTTCTTTTAGCTTGAAATCGCGGGTTTTTACTTAAGTTAAACAATCATTAATGAAAAAGTAAGAGCTCACGATGGAGAAAGAACCAGAGATAATAACTTTGGACGATAGTGTGGTATCGGAAAAATCATCGACAGAGATGTCAAACGACAGTATTGTTTTTATTGACCAAAACATGGATAATAACCTGTCCATTCAAGAGGTCGACGACTCCTTCACCAAACCGGAGGATCCTCTTCTAGTCGAAGAAGGAGAATTAAAAGAAACTGAGGAACCTGCATTCCAAATTATTTTCAGAGATGAGAGGTCCATCAAGTGAGTGAACTTTGTGCACAATTCAAAAATTGCGTGGCACCAGGTTTTTCACGCAACTTTATTTTTTCAGAAACTTTAAAGATAAAATTGAAAATTTTTTCAAAAACACACTACTATCCAAGACGAAAAAAGAAAACATTCGAATTTCTATGGAAAATTTAACACTAGAAATTTACGACAATGGAGTCTGTAACGAAGATTTCGAAAAACAAATTGATGATAATACGTCGAATGACGATAAAAACACGGATGACTGCTTATTTTTCACAGGAAATGAAACTGGAAATTTCACCCTTGACATTCCTTTATATGAAAAGGTTTGTAGAATACAATGCGCAACACAAAATGATAAATTACAATTCAATAATAAACAATTTTACTTAGACAACCCAAAATCCTATGAAAGAAACAGACGATGATGAAGAAGAAGTCAAGAAGAACAATTTCACACCAAAAATGTCTTGTTTCAATTGCCTTGGAAATCATAGTATGCGAGATTGTGATCAACCCAGAAATCCAGCAGCTATAAATAAAAATAGAAAAGAATATAATCTCAAAAAAGGTTCGGGTTTAAGATATCATATGGATGACGAACAAAAGTTTGGACACTTTTCTGCAGGTGAAATTAGTTCTAATTTACGTGAAGCATTGGGTATTGAAGAATCGGAGCTTCCTGTACATATATACAGGTAACATTTTTTTTAATTTTTTTTAAAGTGTGTTTACAAAATGATTGATCTTGTATGATTATATGATTCAGAATGAGGCAGTTGGGATATCCACCGGGCTGGTTGGAGGAAGCTAGATTGCAACATTCGGGTCTAGCTGTATATTCAGATGGAAATGTTGATCATGGATCGGATGAAGAAGGAGAAATAATTTTACCAGGCGACAAGGACAAATACGATATTAAAAAAATTATAGACTTTCCAGGATTCAACATTCCTTCTCATCCTGGAATACAAGATGTAATTAAACTTAGTTTTCCAAAAATACTTACATAACTAACATTGAAAACTTTTATGTATTCTGCAGGAATGTAATGAATATTGGGGTTCCGTTGTTCAAGTAAATAATAGCAAAGAGACAATGCTTTCACGTTTACAACATAAAAAAGCAGATGACGGATACAAACGAAAGAAGTTATCTCTTGTTCCTAGTCGAAAATCTAATAGTACATCATTAAATGCTGGTGATATGGAAATTGAGCAAGCAGAAGGTATTAATTCAAAATCATATTTCTTTGTAGATTAAAAATGATAATCATGATATTTTCTAGAAACATTAGTAGAATGTGTTCCTGCTAATGATCTATTTGTACCTCCACTACCAAAAGATGGAAATCCACTTCCTCCGCCTCCACCAGAAGACGTAAATGTTGCAGAAATTGAAAATGAAATTGTTGAAAATAAAAATGATATAAAGGAATATCCATCAAGTCTTTTAAAGGTAAATTTTATACTTATGTGTTTCAATTTGTCTGTAAAAAAATACTTATTTATTGTGTACATTTTCAGAGCACTAATGATCTAGAAAAGGATTCAAGGACCGATTCACCGTCATTACTTGATTTGGAGAGCAGAAAAAAACAATTGCTGGCAGAATTAGAAAAATCAAATCAATCTTGCTCAGATTTAGATACATCTCAACAATCAAATATTAATACAACAAATGATACATCTCAAAAGTCAAATGTAGATGAATTGAATATTTCTCAACAATCAATTACAGATGAGTTGAATACTTCTCAACAATCAAATATAGATGATTTGAACACCTCTCAACAATCGAATATAGATGTTTTGAACACTTCTCAACAATCAAATACAGATGAATTGAATAATACGTCTCTGTACTCAAACGCAGAGAGTTCTAGTGATTTGAATAGTACTGGCATTGAAAATACCTCATCAATTGAAGGAGAGAGTCATCTTAAAGACAGTACTCCTAAAAATGAATCGATATTGCCACCAAAATTTGTTAGTAAAATTACAAACAAAGTAATGTTAGGTACTCCAATATTAAAAAGTTGCTCGCCCTACAAACGATTACCGACGGCTGAGAAATTTTCAAAAGACATCTGTGATGTAATAAATTTTGAAAACTTACCAGATTCTACTGGTAAATATGATCAAATGGTCGGAGTCTTGGAAAAAGTTAGACGAACAGTCTCCAAATTACATAAAGAGTAAATGTGTTTCATTGATTTCTAATCTATATTGTACAATATTAATAGAGAAATTTCTGTATAAAAGCAATTAATTTTTTCATTTATACTCAAAAAATGCTTTTATAAGCATTTCAAAACGCAAATTGAATATATAAAAACATTTTGATTTTGTAAATTGATGAATAAATGTATATATTTTTAAAATTATCTATAGCATTATTTTCCTTCCAAGTTTCAACGCATAATAATTGTCAATGTTTGTAATTAAAGATTTGCTAAAAAACAAATGTCGAAAGTAAACTATAGCCTTTTTATTATTTTCACATTAATACTCATAATGTTAAATTTAAATAACTTTTGCAGTACATTTTAGCATTCGTACATAAAATATAAATAATTTTTTACAGCTAATAAAGAAAATAGCTAATAATCTTTATTGATAATACATGAGTAGAAGCCATTTTATCATAGTAGTCAATTGCATAAAATTGCGTTATGAAATTAAAAAATCAACGACTTACAATTCAAAACATATTTTTCAGAATCATAAGATCTTTCATTGCAATACTGTGCACTCCAGTATGTAAAGACGACAGTAATACAATAACATACTATTTAATTAATTTGATGCTCACAGCATTTATAACAGAATAAGTGTTGCGGTCTTAAAAATTCAACATTCACATAGTGGTTTTTACTTTTTTAACAGTACCCGTTTTACAGTTATTAACATTGAAGCCAAACCTCAAGGAATTTAGTGATTCATTGAAAGCATCATCAAGTGGTGAAATGTTAAGTAACATGAGAGTCTTAGAATTGCCACCAAGAGAAGGCATTAACAAATGAGTAAGTTTAGAATTCCGGTATGGGATGTGATCTTGTTTTTGTAAAAGAGCTAAGATCACATGTCCCAGATTTGCCAAAGACTTATTGATATTTTTAGTTTCTGCTATTCTTGCCGCTTCTTCATTTTTTAATCTTTCAGATCCAGCCAAATCAACCAAATTTAAATTTCCAATACACACTTCTTGTTTACCAGAATGTGTACCTATTAACCGAATTCTTGCAACTGAATGGGATCGAGATGAACTGAAAATTTAAGTTATAAAAAATTTTAAATAATTGATTATAAAGCATTGATTTAAAAAAAAACTCATTTTAATTTTTGAAAATTACCGTTCATTGGACTGAGTTGCTGCCATAGCGCGATTTTCTTGAGCCATTAATAAGCACTGATTCAGTTCCTCTGGACTATTTATTTCCTGAACTAGCAAATTAGTAACATATAGATCAGTTCCTTTGCTATCAGCCATCCTAATATCATGTGATTTTCTTTGATAATCAAGAAGATCTACAATTTGTTCATTGTAAATTTCAAGGAAACTGGCTTCAATTTTGTACTCCCATCCAAGCATTTCGAAATGTTTCATTTCTTTAAAAATATGTTTTACCTAAACAAATAGTAAAAATATAATTACAAATAAAAATATTTAAAACTTGAATTTATATCAATCAACTTACTGTTCTTGGAATCATGCCTTCGGTTTCAGTACCAGGAAAACCTTCCATTGTATAGGTTTTTCCTGATCCTGTTTGACCGTATGCAAACACACATACATTGTAGCCTTCAAGCGCTGATTGTACAAGCATTGATAATTCTTTAAACACATCTTCTTGTGTAGAATTAGGAGGGAATACTCTATCAAATGAGAATTCATTGCGTTGCTTTACTTTGTTACTATAAGCATCTTCTGCTTTAGAAATCTCAAGAGTGCATTCATCTAAATAGTTGATGGTGCACAAACTGAAAATATTAATAATTGTTTAGTATAAAAATATTTAAATTGTTTTAATAAAACCTAAATAAATTTTTTACTTTTTAGAAGCTTCCTTAGGAATCTTTGGTCTGATTCTGCAGAATACTCGAATGTTTCCTTTTAATTCTTGAATAGCATTATGCAAAGCTCTTCTATCTTTGTCCAAGTCCATCACCAAGTCTGATAAGTCATTGTTCTTTGCTGTCAGCTCATTGATCTCTTTCGTGCTAGACTTTTTATGTTCTTCTAATTCTTCTTTGAGTTGTGCGATTTCATTGGTTTGGTTTTTTATTAATGTTGCCTTAATTTCTACATCATTCTTAAATTCTTCTAAACTTTTTGCTGTTTCTTCATACAGTTCTTTTGATTCTTTTAACTCTTCAGATAAACGATCTCTTTCTTTTGTGAGTTCATCAATTTTTGATTTTAAACTTTTGATTTCATCATTTATCTTACTATAAGTTTTTTCTAATGTTTCAGCTTTCAATCTATTTGTACTTTCGCTTTCTCTCAAACTGATGATTTCTTCTTGAATATCGTTAAATTGGGAAGTTACATCTTTGTGTTTTTGCTTTAATGCAGTCAGTTCATTATTAGTATATTCAAGGCGCCCTTTAAGATCCCATTTGGAAGGTTTTGCACCGGTGGTCTTAGATGTTGTAGCTGTACTAGCAACATTAGCAACTCTTAGATTTTTAGTAGCTGCAGAAGTAGATTTTACTGCTCCAGAAGCAGTTGCAGATCTAAGTGCTCCAATTGTAGTAGCAGGTCTAACTGGCCTAATACCGGTTGGTTTCATAGTAGTTTTTAAGTTGGCTCTCTTAGGTTCTATAACATTATTGACATTAGCACCAGTTCTTTTAACTGCTCCTCTTGCGATGCCATTAACTCTGGATTGAGTGGTCAATGTATTAGTTCGAGTCATAGGTGCTTTGTTCTCATCTGTCTTGGAAGCACTACTTGTAGCACTCATGGTTTTTGATGTTTCCACTGTTTTTACCGTTGAAGCTTTTGCATCACTAGTGGTTGCTGTAAGGTTGGCTTTAATAGCATTAATACTGCTAGGAGCTGCTGTTGCTGTTCTTGCCGGTACTTTGAATTGAAAATTTGCCTTAGGAAGACGAGATTCCATCTATAAAAAGAAAGTTTGTTTACTACTCTGCATTAGATGTTTGTTTACTAAATGCACAAAAAACAAATTGTAGTTTTAATTCATTTATAAAAAAGTATGCAGGGTAACTTAATTTACACTATATTATTTAATCTTGTGAATCATGGATTAACAAGATTCTACTAACATGAACAAAGAATGAAATGTCAATATTATATGAAGGGAAATATACTCGTGAGGAAAGAATGTTTAAAATGTTGGTTAGTAGACACAAACCTTTATGAATGGTTTATAAGAACTCAATTGTTCAAGCCTATATGCAGTACAAGAGCAACAACAACACGAAATCACAAATGTTTCAGTCTCGGGTGCGTAATGTAAATAATACGCTGTTACACCACAGTAATTATCCAACTAGCACTATTATCTCAATTTCATGTTTCTTTCTCGAACTATTTACGAACAATCGTCAATAAAATAGAGAATGTGTATATTAAATAGTAAACGGCTGCGTTGCCGCGATGCAAGGAGTCGTCGAGTAGCCGCAGCAAAACGACAGTTGACGCATGTAGTAGATTGGAGCGCTCTGAAAAGAGCGTTGTAACTTTCAAATATCTGTTTGAAATGCGGCGTTCCTGCTGCTCGGCCAATCAGAGGCCAAGAATGGTCGTGACGAGATTTACGTTATGCAGATGAGTCATCGGCCCGAGTGGTGCACATGTTTTGTGAGTTTTATTAGTTTGTTTGTTGCAACGAATGCGCGAAAGTCAAGTACCATATAAAAAGTTAAAATCTGTCTGATAATGTTGTTTATTTTAGTGAAATTTAGTGGTGAAGTCGTAAAGCTTAGGGTTGATCTTCAATGTTTTGATGATTCGGAAAAGGCGCGAATGATGCCGCGTTGTGCTGCTGTAGCAAAAGGACACGAACTCGTGAAATTAGTAACCTTCATTATCAACACACTGCTCGAGTTCACGCATCGACCGTACGAAATCGTTCAAAAAGTGCTCGTGCTCATTTCGGAGCGATTATTAACACGATGAAAATGAAGCGTCTGCTCGAAGGTTGCTTAAATCGTACAAAAAGTAAAAAAAATTAATCGAGATAAGCAATATTTCAAAATATGACGATTGCAAAAAAAAAAAAACTGGAAACGTGTAAAAAATGTTTCATACACGACGTCGAACGGGATTTTGAATTGAATCGATTGTAACGTAAAATGAAAATTGAGTCATCTATTTGTCGACTTTTACTCGAAGCAACAACTTTCATAGGCGTGCAAAATAGTCAGCGCAACGCAAGGTAAGATTGATTTTTCACGAACTTATCAGACTTCCGAGTGCAGTTACGCAGCTATGATATAATAGTTATGTTCCTTGGCAAATTATGATTAATGATAAGTAATTAAAAAGTTGTTTACTTACGCACTGACTGCGAGCATTAATTAGGAGACTCAATCGATGCTTTGCTTACGTATATGTATGTTTTGCTTCGAGAAAATTGTCCAAACACTCCGTCGTCGAGGTTCGCCACCTCTCGTGAAAATCACGCGACAATCATCGCAATTGTAATTAACGATCGAGAAAATTTGGCAAGTGTCGGTTCTATCTGCTCGATCGAGAGTAAATGCTTGAATTTCGCAAGGACTGCATATGATGACATTTTCGATTAATGTTTAACATCTAATTGAGGTAATTATACGAGATAACTGCTTGATTTTAATTTCTCTGATCAGTTCAAGGGTCAGCATGGGAAATATTTGTAGTCTTGTAGCTATATACGACACGTAATAGAATTATACGTTAAAAAAGGAAATGATTTTTTCGCTTTCATTAATAACATAAAGACGCAATTTAAATGGTCTCGATGAGGAAAGAAAAAAAATCAGCCCGATAAAGTATCATAATGAATTTTCTCGGTAGAGCTATCGTAAATCGTAAGCTCGTCGTACTCGAAAATGAAGTAAGCCGCATAAAAACAAGTCTGGACGCATGCCCACACAGATGCAGTGCAGCGGAGCCCTGAATTTTCGAAGGAGGAAAGAGAGACGGTGGCGCGCTCGAGAGAGAGAGAGAGAGAGAAAAAAAGGATAGCGCTAAAAAATGGCAATGATATTACTTATAGACATGTTGCAGTTTGGACCGGTAATACGAGGTTGGCTGCCGCCGCCGCCGCCGCCGCCGCGGATCGGAATTCTCCGCGACTCCCCGAGAGAAAGTCACGAGCGCGTAAAGCTGTCCGATGCATACACACACACACACACTTGCAATATACTTGTATGTACATATGCAGGCCGCATAAACAGCTTTAGGTATATAGTAGAAAAATCATAAGTAGCGTATTTATACTACTCGGCGTCTTTTGCACGCGCTCGAGGAATTTTAAAATTCACTTGACATTATATTGTAATGTTGCGAGGCTTGTTTACTCTTACTTACATCCGCGTCCCATCGTGCATACGTTATTATATGCACGGAGTCGCGGTTAAGTGGACGACTACATACGAGATATATGTTACGATCGAGGGAACTCGGGGGGCAATTTTCACGGCGAAGCTTTTCAAGCCCAAGGTCGTGAAAATGTTTATAGTCGCTGCTCGGAATATAGGGAGCGAAAAACGGGGCTTCCAACGTCATCGGCTATCCTCGTGCGCTGCTCGTCCGAGGTATAATACAGCTCGCCGAGTATACTTTTAGCCCAGATTCTGCATAATGCCCGTTATTGAACTCGATTTCTCGCGTGGATCCCCCTTCGCGATGGATTTTTATCCCGCGATCCAATTCGAAATTTATCCACGAGGCGAAAAATGGCACAAAAATCGAGGCATCCAAATTTAATCGAGATCGAATGTCGTTGGTCCTTCGATACCTGCGTAGCCGTCATGTGTTTATGTTTCTAATGTCTCGTCGTTATTCGCGAGAGCGATGTTTTCCCTCGGAGAAAAATGCTAAAAATGAAACGGACGCGGGAGCGCGATATCAAAATGCCAATATCAAAAAGGAAGGCACCGTCGTCGAAGTACACTATACGCGTCCATGCGCCGCGACGACGGCAAAAGAGAGAGCAAACGTGCGTACAGCTCGTCGTGTATATACAGCAAAATACGTGTGTGCAGTGTGTCGAAGTGTTATGATGAGAAAGGCTAAGAGAGAGGGCACTAAAATATAGAGTAGAAGGAGAAAAAGAAGGAGGAAATGTGAGCGTGTGTGCGCGCCTCGCTCGGCTCTTTCAATCTGTATGTGTGTGTGTGTGTGTGTGTATCTCTGTGTGTGTGTATAGCGGAGAAACTCCTTTGAAAGGGACCTTTCTCTCGCGATCTTGGTGTAGAGTAGGTTTACCCCGGTTTTGCAGTTTTGAACGTCTCTCTCTCTCTCTCTCTCTTTTGCTGCTGCTGCTGCTGCTGCGGCTCCGCTAACACGGCCGCGCGCAGTCACAGTAGACGTCAGTTCATACCGTACCATCAGGACATTTAAAGCTGCCGCGCGAAATCGGACGGCAAGCCGCGCCGATACGATACACAATTTTTTTTGCCTTTAGAGCCAAATAGATAGAATCGAGTAAAATATAAAAAGTAAAAAAAAAAAACATTTTTGTTACGCATAGAAATTAAGGCCTCTTTTATCATATAAACGACTGTGCCTTGGATTCTGTTTGTTGTGCAAAAAGAAGGAGAGAAAAAAGTTCCGAGCGCACCGAAGCCGCAGTGTCTCGTCCGGAAATAGTTCTGCGATCGAGTTCTCCGGAGGGCCAAGAGAGATCGGCACTTGCTGCATCCCCCGAGCGATCGTCGACGCGCTGCTGAACAGATGCTGAAGCGATCGGAGAAGCTGCTTTGTCGCCTTACATGACAGTGCCGAGGTGCATAGGTTCGCGCTCGATCCAGTGTCCGTGTGTCCTCAAGCGCAATGTCCGCAAGCACGATGGGGCTCAGATCGCTGCTGCCGCTGCTTCTCCTCGCGCTCGTCCTCTCGATCGGCCAAGCCGCCCGTGCCAACGTCGATAACGATCGCGGTAAGTCCCAATTTCCGATCGATATTCAAAGCGATCGAGTATTCTCGCGACTCGATTTACAAAAACGATTGCGCCGCTGCAGCGTGATTTCTCGCGCCTTTCGCAATGACAAAACTCGAATATACGCCTTGGATCCAGTTTACCTCCAAATTGCTGATGAAATCGAAATAAATTAACTGCGTCCGACAGATCGTGCGTGTGCTGCAATTATCACTTTATCTTTTCTTCGACTATGTACGAGAAATGTATGAAAATTGCCGCACGCGGCCAAAGATCGACGCTTTTATAACTGCGGGCTATTATGTATAATATAGCAGTTTAGATATACGCGCGCGTTACTTTTCATAAGGCCGCGTGTAATACAAGCTTTCGGGTGATTGTGCGTTTCGCAGCGAAAATATCCCCCCGCGCGGCACAGCCACAGCCACAGCCTCTGCAGCAACAATTGGCATATTTTCATTAATAGCTCTCTCGCGCGGTGAAAAGCATATGATCTTCGTCGTCGTTCGGCATTTACATTCAATTTCAATGGAAAAGTATATTGCCGTTTGAGTGGCATTAAACAAAAAAAAAAAAGGAGAGAAGAAAGAAAAAAGCGTCGCTCAAACTGCGACTTTCATCCCATTGAAAAATCAGCGAGGGATTTTTTCCAATATTTTTATATATTTCGTACGATTATTAATAATATAATTGCAATATATATATGTATGGCATTCTTGAGAGGTGGCTTTTGCCGGAGCGAGAGAAAGTTGTGACAGGAACATTTTTGTGAAAAAATTGACTCTTACATTTAGTTATATCTATGTCTATCTATCTATATACACACGCTCACGTACATATGTATATTCACATCAAGCTCGCGGTTTATATAATTTACGCGCTAAGCGTGTAAAGTAACAGTAGCCGCGCGTATATATTAATTCATCGCAGACACATTTGAAGCGGACAGTTATAATCGTGTATGCGCAGGAAATTACAAAAAAAAAATCAACGACACGATCGCCGACACAAACTTTGGCGAAAAAAATCTTCACGGCCTGGCGAAAGCGCGTAGCGAAAACGCGAAATGGTACGTAGGCGCCGCCGATCTATACGTGCCGCCGAAATCTGCTCGTAATATATCAGGCGCGTTTCGATCCGAGCGATCGTTCTTTTTTTCCTTCATTTTTGTCATTCTTCGATCGCAGAGATTCCATCTCGTGCCTCGAACGGTCGCGGCCAATGTTACTCTTATTATATTTATTAAAGTCTATAAAAGCAAATGCAAATGACACGAGGCTATTAATTGGAAAATCCGAAAAATTATGAATCGGCCGGAGGCAATTATCGAGGCGCAACTACGTCGAGTCTCGCAGTAATGGATACATATCGGCGCGCGCCAATGGTCAATCACGGCCGAGAAATACGAGAGAAAAAGTACGAGTAAATGTCCTTGCTCAGGCTTTGAGCGCTCGGAGCATAAATAATGGCGCGTGTCGAGTTATAATCAACCGCAAGGTAGTCCGTTGACTCGTGCGCTCTTCTCGATTCGAGAAACGTAAAACGTCTTCGAGAGAGGTGCATAACGTACGAAACTCGGCGCTGCAGCCGAGTCTCGTCGTCGAGCTGCTGCGCTGCAGAGATGCTGCGCTATATAATGCTATACATACAGATCTCCACATATAGTAACGAGCAAAGTTTCGCAAGCCAGAGCAGTGCCTGCTGCTGCTGCTGCTTTAGCGAAAGTGAAAGACTCTGATCGGCTATAAGTATGTAAGCAGTCGCTCGGCGCGTTCGCGCGCGCAAGCCAGAGATGATATTGAAGCGCGCAAGCTGCGCCACGAGTGAAAAACGAGCGGATTCGCGTCCGAGATCGTGCCTGGAAACGATCCGCGCTGCTCATTTTGCGAAACTCTCGCTCGGGCAAATGCACAAAACTCGAGTATATATATCTGTATACGCGCGATCGTGCGCAAAAAAGAGAGAGAGAGAGAGAGACAGATAGGAAGAAGCAAATTGTCGGATGCATTATAGCTTTAAAAGCCACAATCGAGCAGCAGCAGCGCGAATCTGGCGAGCGCAAAAATGCGGAAAATTCATCGAGCTGCTGCTCACGATTTCGCTATCGAGCCCAGCCGACTGCGCTCCGTAAGCACATTAGTCGAGCTGCATGTTATACACGGCGCCTAGGCAGGTGCATGCGTTGTACTCGTAAATTATAATTGTTATACCGGCGTCGATCTCGAGTGCACTCTCAATTACGTCGGCTCCTCGTCGACGAGCTTCCGTCCATCGTCATCATCGAGATGAGA